CTGGTGGGGGAGGAGGAGTGTGCTGTCACTTTAGGATGGTTGAGCTGTGCGGAGAGAGCTGCAGGCTGTCAGATCCTGGCCGAGCGGCTCTCTCTCTCTCCTCACAGCTCCCTCATCTGCCCCACCGGCTACACTGCTCCATTTCTCATCGGCTCCCTGCTGCCTCTGCCCATACAGGTGGGGGAGAGAAGCTGGAGCCTGTGCCGTCCCTCTTCTCCCTGCTGAGCTGCAGCTGTGTTGGCCGCCTGGTACCCTGTTGCCATGGTACCTTGTGCTTGGCATGACAACAGGGGCGAGGGAGTGAAGCCAGCCTCATGTTAGCTATTGCCCTGACACCAGACAACACAGTGGCGGGGACTATGCCCATCTGTGACAAGGCAAATTGTCTTGTTTTGCATTGGGGCTGTGCTGGAAAAAAATATTCCCAAAGCAGCAGGTGTGAACGGGCCCTTAAAACATTTTAGCATATACAAGTCTGTGTTGTTAAATTGTAATATCATGTTCTCATTTACTTTGTTTATAAAACACTATCATATAAGGTAATTTATGCATTATAGCTATGTATAAAGCACCAACAATTTACATGCTGCACATTCACATCAACCCCTGCCCTCCATGAGTTTACAGTATAAAGCCTCCATCTCACATGCATACATACATGGATGGCCAATTTACCTTCCAGCATGTCTTTGCCATGTGAAAGGAGACTGTTAAGCTGGTCATACACCTTACAACCATTGTGCGACTTTCGTTGTGCGATGGGTGTAAGGTCATTCAAATGTTGTACAACCTGCCCATCTTGGACAGGAAGATCGTACTTGCGATCAAGTATGACGGGAGGGGTTTGCCGATGATTGCAATGCTGAGCGGGCAGTGTGCACTTGCGCACACCGGCCCGTGCGGCTTTCATCTTCCGAGCACGCTACCAACCCGCTGAAAATCGTACGATGTTTGTCGGGTTCTCCAGTGTGCTAGGAAGACAAAAGTTGCGCGGCCGTTCAGTAAATGCGGTCACACCTGCCGGTTATCGTACGATGGCGGGGATTGCCGACGATTATGGTACAATGATCGGCAGGTGTATGGGCACCTTTAATAGTTGGAGGAAACATGTGCAAGCAGAGGGAGAACATGCAAACTCCATTCAGATAGTTTCCTGGCAAAGATTTGAACTGTGGTCCCCCCAGTGCTGCAAGGCAGAAGTGCCAGCCACTACACCACCATGCTGCCCTGATAGAGAACAGTGACTATTCTTAGTAAACATATTGTTTCATTTAATTGATTGTGGCCTTTAATGCTTTATGGAAATCCTGATTCCTGACAGTGTAAATGATGGCGTTTATCAGCGGGGTCACTGCAAAGTAGGAAAAGGACATCCCTTTATAGACTTGGAAATAGGTTTTGTTCCTCGGCACCACGTATAGAGCAAAAACAATGGCACAGTGTACACCTAAGACCACCAGGTGTGAGCTGCAGGTGGAGAAAGCTTTCTTCCTTCCTGTGGAGGTCTTTATCTTGAGGATGGAGATGATGATGAAGGTGTATGATACGAAAGCAGCTACAAGAGGTGACACACTTAGTACATTGCTGATGACTAAGGTCAGAGATATAAAAGATGTTATGTCTGAGCATGCAAGACTTATAAGGGAGGTTAAGTCACAATGGAAGTGGTCGATCCTAACAGGGCCACAAAATCCCATGTTCATTAAGAAATAAGACATAGTCGTCACAATCGCCAAGGTAACGAACCAGAACACGATCACTAAATACAGACACAGTCTAGTATTCATGAGAGCAGAATATCTCAGAAGCTGACAAATCGCCAAATATCTGTCGTATGACATGACCACAAACAGGAACGACTCCATATCCGACATGCCTCCCAATATGTTTATCTGGACAATGCAACCCACATAGGAGATGACCCCTCTTCCTAATAGTATGTCACGCAGCATCAATGGAACCAGATTCGTAGTATAGACCAATTGACAGAAAAACACATTGCTGATGAGGAAGTACATGGGGGAATTGAGGTGAGGACTTTTATTAACCAAAAAGATAATCAGGAGGCTCTCGATGCAGGTGAATGTGTAGGTGAGGAGCAAGAAAAGGAAAAGTGGAATTCTGTAGGCGATGAGACAACAATCGCAACTTCAACCACCAGAGTCTGATTCTTTTGATCCGTCATCTGTTAACGAGAATGTCAGAGAGAGTATCATTACCTCCTCAATTTCAGCTCCTGTGCATTCCTTATACACTAGAACATTTTTTTTTAGAAATCTTCTAATCAATCAACAATAACTTTTTTAAAACGTTTTGCATGTATTTAAAATTTAAAAAATAGTTTTTTTTTTTATAGTGTGACCTGTGCTACTGGACATTAAAGGAGAACTATGAAGTAAGTGAAAATCACTCACCTCACATACCGGCGCTCCCTCACTTCCTGTTCATCTCCCTGCAGAGAGCTGTGGATGTCAGTCAGCCGTGAATGCAGGCATTTTCCCCATCCCCGCTCCGATCCTCCACCGCTGACTGGAGTAATGGACGGGGGAGGGGACGGGTACAGCTGGCTCTGCATCTAGATAGGCAGAATTGTGTATTGTCACTTTAAAGGTGGCCATACACTTTACAACCCTCGCAAGACCTTAGTCTTGCGAGGGTTGTAAAGTAGTTTAAAAATACGTACGATCTGCCCATCTTGGACAGGCAGATCGTACCTGCGATCATCGCAAGCCTGCCCCCCTAATGGGGCTTTCGATGACTGCAATGCTGAAGGGCAGTGTGTGCATGCGCACACCGGCCCGTTCGGCAGTTATCTCTCGATCATGCTAAAAACCACCAGGAAATCGTATGATTCTCGGCTGGTTTTTCAACATGCTTGAAATACAAAAGTCGCGTGACCGTACAGTAGAAACGGTTGCACGCCTTCCATACAGTGCACGTTTATCGTACGATCGCTGGATTTCCCGCGCTTCTCCTACGAGAATTGTGCAGTGTATGGGCACCTTAAGACTACCCCCCTTCTGAGGCAACACCATTTAAAAACATCAACATGGGACATTTTGTTTAACTACACCCACTAATCTGTCAGCCCGCTGGATGTGCGGTAATACCAGAGTCATATATTGTGCACTGATGACTTCAGCTAGAATCCTCTGCAATGCTGCACACTGAACCCTGATAGACTTGTATCTGGCCACCCCAAGAAGGATCTTCACAGTTTGACTTGTTTGCCCCGCTGGATGTGCGGTGATACTGTATGTATGGTAGCTTCGGCTACATACAGTATACCCGCTGAGCCAATCACGGAAAGTGATGTACGCGGTATCCTTTATTTAATAAACAAGCACATTAAATGTGTTACTGAGACCACTGCAAAGGGTCTGAATACTTAACTACCGTATTTGCCGGTGTATAAGACGATTCGGCGTATAAGACGGCCCCCTACTTTATGTGTTAAAATATAGGTTTTGGGCTATACTCGTCGTATAAGACAAGTATAGCCCAAAATAATGTTGAAATGCGCCCACTAACCTCCATGGCGGTGTTCCCGAGTGTGGCCCGGGGTTAATTTTCAGTACCATAAGCGGTAACCCCCCCCGAGCCACACTCGGGATTACAGTCTCTTACCTTGTCCACGATCCCCGCAGCGTCCTCCATCTTCCGTCCTTCAGCTACATACAGTATACTGCACTGAACCAATCACGGCAGGCTTTGCATTCATTAATACAGGCTTTGTATTCATTAATACAAAGCCTGCCGTCATTGGCTCAGTGCTGAGCCAATCACGGCAGGCTTTGCATTCATTAATACAGGCTTTGTATTCATTAATACAAAGCCTGCCGTCATTGGCTCAGCGCGGTATACTGTATGTAGACGAAGCTACATACAGTATACCCGGCGTATAAGACGACCCCCGATTTTGGGCACGTTTTTGGGGTCTAAAAACCCGTCTTAAACGTAAATGTTAAAACCAACCATATTGCCCAGTTATTGAAACTCAAGCAATATATCACTCAAGGGAATAGTCCCCCTCGTATGAGGTGACAAACCACATAAAATACTGTGACTAGGGAAGGGGGGGAGCTTGAAGATCAGGATTCCAACTGATGATTATTCCTAGGAGCACCTCCTTATATAGGGTGGCTGTGGAAACTTCCAGAAATCCTCGTGGCGATGTTTTCCCGCCGATAATATGACAGTTACATTTTCTTAAAGGGACAGTAACTGAAATATATAAAACTGGGAAAAACACACCAAAAAAATACAAATTATAGTCCCCACATTCCCATGAAAATGGGCCTCGAATGTATGCCATGTTTTACATTAACTGAGCTGATCATGTTGACCACTGTCTTCTCTTTACCTTGCAGCTCTAAATCTAGCTCATTCCGCATGTTTGTCAGGCCAGTCAAAAAAGCCAAATCTAAAAGCCATTGTTCATCCTCCAGTTTTTTTTGTATTCTACATTTTTTGTAGACAGAATAAACTCTTTTATTTGCAGGCAGCAGATCACAAAATATTTGCAGGCAGCAGATCACAAAATATTTGCAAACATTTTCCCCTCCTCAGCCATCTGACATCTGTATGCAGCAGGAGATCTGTATGATTGCATTCAGCTTCCTCCAAGTAGGCACAAAACAGTCGTCTCTGAAGGGGCCGTGCACGAATTGAGCAGATAATGTTCACGGTCACATCCATGACATCTTTCATGTTCAGCATTTTTGCACATAGTACTTGCTAGTGTATAATACAATGATAATTAAGGAAGTCTGGAAAGGTGTCTCCTTCCTTGCATTTGGCAATGAATCGATTTGTACGTCCGATCATCGCAGGTGCACCTTCAGTGGTAATTGACACCAATTTAGACAATGGTAACTGTGTTTTTTCGAGAAACTCTTTAAATGACAGAAAAATTTCCTCACCACGAGCATGTTCTTTCATTCAAGCCAAAAGGGTTAGCAGTTCCTCTCTTGTTGTCATATCTTTAAATACCATTCTGATAAAAATGCACAATTGTGCCGTGTCACTAATGTCCGTGCACTCATCGAACTGCAGTGAGAAACCATCACAGACATTTATGTTTATATGTTGTTTTCTTCATGACTAAGAAGAGGGGAGAGTAGAAACCTGAATGTCTCTCTCCTGGAGGCACCAAGAAAACGGCACCCTTCCGAATCAGGGTGATTATGTATTGAAGGAAGATCTTCTTCTTCCTGCTGGGCGATTACAATCAAGTTTGGACAAACTAATCTCTTGGGGGCGGGAGTGAAAGGATGATTGGTGCCCATGTCTGATGGTGTTGGATAGCCATGGATCCCCAATTTGATCCCACCAGTCGGAGAAGTGGCAAAGGCGGGCCCCCACTTGAACAGGAGGGGGTGACACACCATCAAAATGATTTTTTGGCTCCCGTGTTGGAGGGAGGTTTGCCCTGTTTGGCAATTCGTAGGAGAGAGCCTCTACAGTATTCCCTCCCGGCTCACGAGCATCACGCTGTGAATCTGACATTGGTTTCCTAGTTGATAGGAAGATGTGCCGCCAGAGATTCCAATCTTGTGGGGTGAGTCCTGATTTGCCGCCTGTCACCTTTTGATATTGCCGAATAGATTGGAGCCGCCATAGGGAATGTGGCACCAGTTGGACTTCCACAAATAATTTGCTGACTACGGCTTGTCAGGGGAGAATGGCTGGGCCATGAGTGGAACCCCCTGGCAGGGGCGCCAAGACAAAGTCTGAGATCGAGGTATACAGGGGAAATCCAAGAAGAGTAGTCAGGTCCAATCCGGGTCGAGGCAGCTAGGTTCAGGAACGGAAGGGCAGGCCAAAGGGTCGGTAATAGGGAGTCCAAGCAAAGAGTCAGGAAGTGAGACTGTTCAAGGCGCTGGGAGATCACACCACAGGGATAGAATAACTCAGCAATGAGCCAGGGCTCTGACTGGGCTTTTATACCCAGTGGGGAACTAAGACCACCCCCTGGCTGCCGAGGCAACCAGGAAGCTTCTCCATCCAGGAGCCAATGGCAAGAGAAAGGCAGGGTGTGTGTGCTGGGAACCTCCCCCAGCAAGGATCACACCTGACACTAATAATGGTGGTCCAGGGGTCCTGCCAGGAAGGAGAACATGTGCCCTCCGCCGCACATGGCAACCCCAAGGAGTGGTAGTACCCCCAGTACCCTGACACGGCTTTAGCCAAAGTTCACTCCGTGACGTTAGCCAGCATGGCCCTAGCAGAGCATCTCACAATGTCAATGGCTGCCTCACTAATGAAGTTGCTGGCAATCTTGAGGTCCTGTAAGGCCGAGTCCATACTTAAATGGCTCTGGAGACTGAGGTGAGAGAAATTAGGTCCAAGTTTGCCTTCAGATCCAGTGTATATTTAAAGGATATAATGCCTTCCATCGGAAGGGTAACGTAGTGAGCTAATCTCCTTATTGCAGTGTCGACCACAGGAGGTGTGGATAGGTTGTTCACGTCCTCATCTTTCAGGGGATAAAGCTTATAGAACCTGTTATTAAGGCAGGGTTTTTTCTCAACCTTTCTCCATTCTTCCTGGATAATGTTGTGAATTTCCTCCATAAAGGGGAAGGTCCCTGATTCGTGTTTCAGGTGTGGGAAATACTTTTGTATTTTAGCTGGTGCTTCTATGGGGTCCTCCCACTCAATGGCCTCTTTAATGGAGGCTATGAAGAGTTCGGTGAGGCTGAAACCAAATCCCACCGGGCAAGAAGGCCCTGCAGCGTCTGATTGATCGGATGATTCCAAGTCGCCACTGCAGGCTTGGGATGAGGTAGATGGGCCTTGTGAGGTTTTCTAGTGTGTAAACTCCTTCATGCATTCCTGCATTGATTGTTTCATGAAGTCTTGGTTGGATGCCT